ATTGCTAGCATTTCTTAGTCCATCTTGGTGGAATTTAAAATATATTTAATACTACTAATCTTGAGTTTTTTAATTATGTTAGCATTGATTCTTAAAATAATCAGTTTTAAATGTTACTGCCTATTGTTTGAGAAAGTTACTTGTACTTTGAACATGATTTTATTTTATTTTTATTTTTACTTTTTCCTTAAGTTTATTGGTACATTTAAGGTAAACAGTACAGTTATATTCATCATTGGGATCTTGTACCTGTACATGATGTACCTTCTTTCTGATTTTTTTCCCATTCCCCTGCCCTCCCTTCACCACTGTATTTTCTATTCCTATTACAAAGACTTTGTTTCCATTTTTTCCTTTTCTCATATTTTTCTTTTCCCTTCTTTCCTTTTCCCTACCTTTCCCACTTCCCCTTCTCCTTTAGACCTTTTCTTCCTACTTCACATTATCACTTACACCATTTGAACCTTATGTACACTTTTAGTTTTTTACACCAGAGAAACTATTGGGTATTTACTCACATGTATCCTATTTATTTCTCTTAATAGTATAGTCTCAATGTGCATCCATTTAGCTATAAATGTCTCTAGTTTCTCATCCTTTATGGCTGAGTAGTACTCCATTTTATAGAAAAACCACATCTCCCTTATCCAGTCTCCAGCTGATGAGCAATTAGGCTGTTTCCAAGTATTAACTATTACAAACTGTGCTGCTGTAAACATGGGTGCACATATATCACTGTGGTATGATTCTTTTAATTCTTTTGTGAAGATGCCCAGCAGATGCTCAGGGATAGCTGGGCCAAATGGGACTTCTAAACCTAGTTTTTTGAGGTTTCTCCATATATTTCCACAGTGGTTGCACCATTCTGCACTCCCACCATCAATGAAGAAGGGTTCCTTCTCCCCACAGCCCTGCCAACACTTGTTCTTGTTTTTTTTGGTCCCAGGGATTGAACTTGGGATCTTGTACTTGCTAGACAGGTGGTGGAACCACTGAACTAAATCCCTGGCCCTGTGCCAACATTTTTTATTGGTTCATTTCTTGATAGCAGCCATTTTTTCTGGGGTGAGATGGAATCTCAGTTTTATTTTCATCTGCATCTTTCGAATGACCATTGATGTTGAACAGTTTTTCATATATTTACTTGCAGGTTTTACTTATCTAAGAAATATCTGTTTATTTCAGATGCCAATGTTTGAATTGGATCTTTAAATTTGGGGGGGTCTGATTTTTTTTAGTTCTTTATATATTCTAAATAGTAGTCCTTTGTCTAAAGAACAGCTAGTAAATTTTTCCCTATATTGTATGTTGTCTCTTAGGTTTGTTGGTTTCTCTTGCACTGTAGAAGCTTTTTAATAGGATGAGAGCCCAGTTGTTGATTCTTTGTGCAAGTTCCTATGCTACTGAGGATTTGTTCATAAAGTCTTTTCCTATGCCAATCTTTGAGATGAACATGATTTTAATATTAGAAATTCATAGTTATGTTAGTATTGTCTCCTTATGAAGGCAAAGATGAAGATGTTAAGGGAGTACATAATGGGAACTTATCTACTTAAATGGGGTAAAATAACATTTTAGATAATTCCAAAAGTCATATTATTTTGAATGCCATCACCATTATTTTTCTGTACTGTGAGGCTTTTGTTAACTGAGTTTAAGAGGTCAAAAAATATTACAGGACTGTAATGAAAGCAGTGTGTCATTATCTCAATGTCCTCACTCCTGGTCTGATCCTAAGTCCCCTCTGCACACCTGCTGGGATACAGTTTAAATAATACCCCCGAGAACCAGAGAACACATCTTGACTTGTGGGTCAGAGGTTCCACTGGATCCTCAGGGGAAGTACTTTCAGCACTTCTTCAGTTTCTTCTAGCCCTTACCTACATATGTCTAGAGAATGTACCTGTACCTCTATTTCTTGACTTTTGGTCTTAGATCATCTATTTACTCCTCTTAAGGAAGAGCAGGATTCAATTGTCATAGAATATTTTCCTCAATTTAATTATATCACAATTTTTAGTTTATTCGATTTTGTTGTATTTCATATTGAGTGTACTATCATTAATAACTATTGTTCGGAGCTAAATTACATAGAAAATTATTGCTTTATTTTTCTTATATAGAATTAAGTTTGTCATACATGAAACAGTAACCTCTCTTTTATGAGGGAGCGAGTATTCTAGGCACCTGTGATGTTTCCTCCAAGTTGGTTGAAACACCTGCACCAAGCTTTTGCTTTGCTTCCTGCTAATGTCTGACTTTCTGCTTTCTAGACTGCTGGTTGGTTTGATAGATAGTTATCTTCTAGGAAATTCTTTTCATCATTTTTCTGATAATTCTTTTTTATCTTTTGTCTGTTTTAGGTAGCTTTGTGTTGCTGTGACTAAATCTTTAGGAAAACAATTTGAAAAGAGTAAGGTTCATTTTGGCTTATTGTTCCAGAGGTGTCAGTCCATGTTTGGCTAGTTATACTTCTGTGAGCTTAAAGTGAGGCAGAACATTGTGGTAAAGAGAATAGTGGAGCAGAGGTGCTCAGCTCATGGCAGCCAGGAAGCAGAGAGGGAAGGGAAGATGAAGAGAGCAAGAGAGTGCAAGGAAGACCGAGAAAGAGGGTGAGAGAATGAGAGGTAGAGAAATGAAGGACAGCTGTACCTTCAGAGAGATACCCTGAGTGAACTACTTCGCCCAGGTGGGCTCTACTTATAGCTCAGTCCACTATGAACACATCTATGGATTGATCCATTGATAAGTTTACTGCTCTCTTGGCCCAATCATCTTTCTAGGTCTCATTCTGAATATTGCTGTTAGAGATGGATTTCTTAGCACACAAGTCTCTGGGGGACACTTTATAATTAAACCATTAATACTACTCTTCAATTTTAATTTTTTATTTTCAGAATTTCATTTCTTCTTCTTTTTAATGGTAAACCTCCTTGTAACAACACAAAGGAAAGAGTGTCCAAGTCTAGAAAAACTGGGGAAGATTTCACACAGGAAATGAAGATTAAATTGGGTTTGGAGAATGTGTAAGAGTATTCCAGAAAGGGGAATGACATGCAGAGAAGTGCCATGAGTAACTACTCATAAGCACCAAACATCTTATAAATGTAAAAGTCAGTAAGATTATTAGTTCTAGGGGATTGAGTGCAAGTCAAGTTGATGCTATAAAACAATATGGCGAACCTTTTAGAGACTAAGTCCTCAAAATGAAACCCAAAACCCGCTTATTTATTGCAAAGTACCGTACTGAAATTAAAACTGAATACTGAGGTTTTAGTTGAGAACGAACAACTGTTATCTGGTGCTCAGCTACTGGGGTGACTTGGCTTGTGTGCTGACAGAGAGGGCTCTGTGTGCCTACTGTGTGCCTACTATACATGCCACAGCTTCGCCACCACTGCTAGAGTATGGTTAAGTTTGGAAGAGTGATAAATTGCCAAGTTAAAGATTTTGAAACTTTTTCTTAAAACCATAGTTATCTGAAAAAAAAGTTTTTAATAATAAGAGAGACATGGTTATATAATAAGTACTTTTTAATGAAGGCAATCCTGGGAGCAGTTCACAGAAGGAACTGAGTGGAAGCAGGTAAGGACGGGGGCAGAATACTGTGGAATTAGCATAACTGAGAGATAAGGAAATAGCTGTGGTAACTAAGAAAGCAAGACACTTAGCTATACATGAGAGGAATTTATATGTGAGAGAGGTAGAAGTGGAAGGGCATGGTGGATTCAGGAGAAGCTTGAGAAGGATGTCATGGAGGAAGACTATGAAGTGTAGAGTTTAATATATCACCATGCTGTTAACTCTGAAGGAGATCATTAGCATTTTCAATAGTTATGTTTGCAAGACTAATTATTAAACTATGTCTTTTTTTTCATGTAAGTATGTAACAGTTTTCACAGAACAAAAAACTTACTTTAGTGGTTTGATTTGGTGAGAAAGGAAAATGAGCCAAGGTGTTTTCATATAGTTTTGTAAAGCTGTTTATATCCTTTTGCTTATATTACAAGACAAATCAAAGCTGAATTGATCTTTTTTTTGGTTATTGGAGACAGGGTCTCACTATGTAGTTGAGACTGACTTAGAACTCATTGTATAGCCCAGGCTGGTCTCAAACTCACAGCGATCCTCCTGCCTGAGCCTCCCAAGTGCTGGGATTACAGGGGTGCACCACGACGCCTGGCTAAACTGAATTAATCTGATTTTTCGAAGTTAAATATTATCTTCTTAACACTATGTTAACATTCTTTACTTGACAGATTCTGCAGCTTTTATGTTTAGACACAATTATTCCATTCAAAATATACTTACTGCTTATTGGCAAAATGCAAGTACATTATTCCCTGGCTCATTTATTAAATCCAGTACTATTTACAGAGCACTTGATTTAATAAATGAGCCCAGGCAGTGCTGTGGGTAAGTCGTTGCTTTGTTAGGGTAACATAAAAGTATTTGCTTTCGTAACTTAGGAACTGCTTTGTTCAGAATATGCAGATCTATTTATTTATATATTAGTATTGTGTACCTGGCTTTGTTGAAAGGCCATAACTACTAAATAGTAAAAATTGTCATTCTATTTCTAGCTTAGTCTTATCTATTTCTAGCTTAGTCTTATCTAATATATATGTTAATAGTCCTTTTTGATGAATATATTTTACTTAAGAGATTTTACTTTGAAAATATTTCTATGCTAGAAATTTGTTATAATGATAATATAAGTAACCATTTATAAAGTAATAGCATATGTGCTTTCATGTAAAAATTATGTACACAATTTCAAACAAACAAGCAAATAAGCCAAAACCTAAAATGGCTTTGTTCTTTCCTGGAACACTCAAGTGTAGATGCAGTTTCCCTTAGCAATTCAGTTATTGGTTTGTTGTTTGAAGTTATATTTTCAGGACCTCCATAGAATTTTTTCTTTTACTCTGTGTTAAGTGGGAGATTAAAAAATAAGCAAGGAAATAAGATCTCTTAATATTGTCCTTTATTTCCTTCAGAAAATAGTTGCTGGTGAGTCCTGAGAAGACTTCATGTGGGTAAGTCAGTTTGTTGATTTCCTCTGATAATGTGACCAGGAGAAATAGTGATATTATCCTCTCTTCACATGGCAGCCCAGTGACTGCAAGTTAGTATGCCGTTCCCTTCTTTTCCTTGATTTTGCATATATCTGGCTCATTTCAGGGTGGTTTTTAGATACAGCATTGCATCTAGCCTTGTTCACTTATGCTTTGAGGAAAAATGCATGGTTCTATCTCTGCCTGAAAAGAGAAACAGAGCCAACAGTTTTATGGAAACCTCAATCTGCTGTTCAAATTAATTTCATGATAAATGCATGTGACCAAGGCCAGTATTGACACTGCCTTCTAGTTTGGAGATCTAATAAAAAATGTAATCCTTCACAGACAATATGGAACTGCCATGCCAATAAATCTAGTCTGAAGCCTAAACAAGAAGTCAATATTTATTAAATACACATAAGAATGGAACTTAGTCTCCTGTTTGCTCACTATAAAAGCTGATATGCTGATGGTGTTAGGCAGTGTAAATGTTATATATTAAATGTTCATAAATAGGCATAACAGCTTACTCAGAGGTATTAATAATTAATGGCTTAATGTTTATCATGGAATTGTATTATCATTCTAGGAACTTTATTTTATTGTATTTATTCATTCATTTGAATTTTACTTCAAAATTTTGAAAGTAGCTAAATTATACAGAAATTCAACCTTCTATAATAGTTTCTCTTTATGCAAGTATATTATAGTCTTCTCTGGTTGATATGAGCACAGAATGATTTCATTTGCATTATTCGAGAGATTATGTGTGTGTGTGTGTGAGAGAGAGAGAGAGAGAGAGAGAGAGAGAGTTAAATTAAAGAAAATTAAAACAAAAGTTTTAATTAGTTGTCCAGATGCAGTAGATATGAGATTAGGAAATGAGATGAAACACAATATACAATACAGTAGTCCTCTCTTTTCATTTTCAGTTATTCACATTCAACTGTGGTCTAAAAATATTAAGAGGAAAATTTAGAAATAAACAATTCATAAATGTTAAACTGCACTCTGTTCTGAGTAGTGTGATGAAACCTGTTGCCATGCATCTCTTCACATTTAATGGGACTTGTCCCTTTGTCCAGTGTACCCACTCTATTAGGCACTTACTAGCCAATGCTGACCTTGATCACATTAGACAATAGTGGTGTCTGAGGACTTGCATTCAAGAAATTCTTATTTGACTTAATAATGGCCCCAAAGCACAAGAGCAGCGATTTTGGCAATTCAGTATGCCAAAGAGAAGACATAAGGTGTTTTCTTTAAGTGAAATGGTGAAAGTACAATTGGTGATTTTTAGAGAAAGGCCACATTTGTGAAACTTTTATTAGTGTATATTGCTATAATTGTTCGCTTCTATTTGTTACTATTTTTAACTTCTTGTGCACCTAATTTATAAATTTAACAATCATACGTGTATGTGGATATAGGCAAAGTGATGTATACCTTTTGATACTGTTCATGATTGTAGGCATCTATTGGAGATCCTAGAATACATCCAGTGTGGATGAGAGGGGCCTACTGTACTGAAGTGCTTCCGGACTTTTGAAGTATTTCACTCAAAGTCACCTGTGAATGTGAAGAGGAGAGAGAATTGATAAAGTGATTCTTTTTTTCAAAAAAGAGATAGCTGATGCCTTGTTCTGATTTCCCATTCTTGGGGGATAGGAACAGTGCTAAGTTCTTTGCTTCTAAGAACAGCGCTTTTCCCCAGGGCTATATGTTGCATTTAAAATACCAGTTTTAGAGCTTGGACTTGAAATGGTGGGGTTTGACTCCCTTCTGGGGAACTCTGGAAAATGAGATTTGTGGTGACAAACTGCTTTAGTAGTTGAGCCTGGAGGTGGCTTCTATGTTGAAATCGGTTTTTACTGTGCGTTTGTCCAGCTATGGTATGACTGCTTCTAGGGCTATGATGTGGGTCATGGCAAAGAGGGAGTAGGCATGAGCCATCTTGGGTCTTATCCAACAGGATTGTGATGATTAAGCTTAAGTATCAACTTGATTTTCTTGGGAGGTGCCTAAGGTATTATTAGTAAAGCACATTTATGGATGTGTCTGCATGGATCATAGAAGCTTCACCTTAAATTTTGCATCTGGTTCCTGGCCCTGACTCTGTTACTGTTTTCCTGAAATGATTCCAAATGCATGAAGTGAATAGGATTCCTTCACCATTCCTTCAGCCATGATGTTTGTGATTAGGGGTCAGCCCTATCACCAGGATTATAAGTACCAAGATTTTGGTAGGATTTTGTTTCTTTTTAGGGGATGTAATTCCTCACTAGCTGGATAATTAATTCACAAATATTTATTTATGAAAAACCCTATCAAATTTTGAATGTCATTTTCATTTAGAAAATAGAATTTGATAAGGAATGGACACACACACACATATGTACACACATTTGGTAATATAGAAGAAAAGACAAATCCAGATTGGGTTATCCTTTTTAGGAAATGTGGGTGTTTGAATTTGGCTGTGACAGATCAATAGGTTCTCTGAAGATTTAAATGGGATGAGATGTGTGATATTACAGATAAGAATTCAATCAAATTATATGAACAAAGCCATCTTCACAACAATTCTATGATAGAAATAGGCAAGGAGAGTAAATCTGAATATAAAATAGTGATTACTAGAGGATGGAAAAGGGTTGATAAAAGAAAGTGAATTTGATAAGTGCATGCTGTATGCAAATATCGCAATGTCGCATTAAATCCATTAATATGTATAATAAATTTAGTGAGAGTTTAGTGAGAATATTGCTAGTATCAAGTGTGTGTGAATTTCCATACTTTGTATGAAATTCAGATTTATATTGTAAAGGTACAAAGGAACACAGCGGTTGGCTTACAAGTAGCATTGCTATGCTTAATACAAGGCATTCTAGAATTTTAAAATTTAACAATAAAGAATATTACAAAGAAAAGATACTTTTTGAAGGGAGTTGAGATGTTGCTACAAATGTCAACTGAAAAATGCTGAATGTGGGTACTTTAATAGTAAACAGAGAAGATACAAGAAACACATGAATCATGCTCCCTGTATCACTTGTCTTCTTTGTCACTGATACCCATTACTCAATACCCACAGCTTACAGGAGGAAAGATTCAGGACATTCAGAATGTGGTTGATTGGCTGCAGAGAAGAAATATCATGGTGGAAGGGCATGATGTAGAAAATCTGCTTAGTCTCTGATGAATGGGAAGCAGACTAGGGTAACAGTGTCAGAGAGGAATGGGAAAGGGATTATGTATAGTACCCAAGACCGCACCTCGTGACCCACCAAGATGCACCCAGGAGTGTGCTTTACTGATATGCTAGGTGTATCTTAATTTAGTGAGGATGACACATTAGGACTAGCATTGGCTTGTCAACTTCACAACCGAACACACTTAAAATCATATTTATTCAAATAAAGACAGTAGGAAGTTCATAATTCCTCCTGACATAATACAACTTTCCCATTTACAAATGAAAATGCAATAATCTATCCCTTAAGGTCTCAGTAGTTCCAGAATTTTTCAAAAGTTTAAATTCAAATCTCTTCTGAGACTCAAGACAAAGTCTTAGCTGTGAACCACTGCACAAATAAACAAGTTACATTATCCTAAGGAATAATGGCACAGGTAAATATTCTATAAGGGGAGAATAGAGGGATAGAAAATGATTGGAAAAAAACAAAACCAGAACCCAGCAGGACAAACATTAAGTTCTATTTCAGATAAACAGAACATGATGGCAAGATGTGAGTTCCAGAGAGCTTGGGCAGCCCCATCCTTATGGCTTTCCTGATTTTGGCCTGTATGTCCTGTCTCTTAGGCTGGCTCCATCCTCAGCCTGTAGCTTTCTCTAACAGTTGTCCCACATTCCTGGCATCTCCAATTTCCTGGGGTCTCCTTTTCACCTTTAGCTTCATTCCAATAGCTCATGCACTTCCCTCTCAAGGGCTCCTTACCAGGCCTTCCAGGCCTTCTTCTGAAATCTGTATGAGTGATTCCATGACATGACAACTCTAGCATTTTGCATTCCAGTAGAAGGAGCATCATGTGGATGATACCAAAGTCAGCTGTAGCTTGAACAGTAGTTTGACCCACTGGAGCTATGGCTGTAGCAGCTTCTGAGTGCCTGGATGGCTTAGCAGAGTGGAATGAATCCCAGGGAACCAATTGCCTAGGAGGCCTTTCTTGAACAGACACCCACAGACTATTCTTAAATGAAAGGTTTACAATTTTATACCCTAGAGTTTGTGATGGGTGAGGTCTTGCTGATTTTTGAGATGTCCTCAAGTCATCTTCCTTCTTGTCTCTGTTGAAAGTTTTTGGTTTCTTTTTAATGTGCTCTCCTTAACAGCCATACCTGCTTTAGTCCCAAATTTACACGTTTCTTTCTGGGCCAAAATTTCAAAAATTTCAAATTTGTTTCTTCTGACCTTTGCTTTCAACTCACTATAAATCTGACTAAAACTAGCCAGGAATACCAATTCCACAGCTTGAGAGTTGGGCTACTTTTAAATTTCATTCACCAGATCGATTGGTCCACCACTCTTAACCTTAGTGTCTTATGAGTAGGACAAAATGAATAAAAATTTCCTGCCAAAGTGTAACACACATGGCTTCTAGTCCAAATGCCAATGGAGTCCTTATTTCCATCTTTAACCTCTTGAGCATGACTTTTATTTTCCACATTCATAGCAGTGTTCTTATCTTCTGTACTCTGGCCAGAATCACCCATCAGTCTCTGCTTATTGCATTCTAAGCCTTCTCTAGCACACATCTGTAAACCTTTCCAAACTCCTTCAGCAAACCAGTCCAAAGGCTTTCAAACAACATGGTCAACTGCAGTCACACCAGAATTAATTTTCTGTATTGTTTAGCTTTCCTGTCACTAGGACAAAATACCTGACACCCACAACTTTAAAGAGAGGAAATGTTTAATTTAGCTCATGGTTTCAGGAGGTCCAGTACATGGTCTGCTG